GGTTAAGATCATTGCCCCACCGGAGAAGATGTTCTTGATTACAAATGGTCCTTCATAGGTAGGAGTCCATTTGCCCCTGGGATCACTTTGTGGCAAGATAATGCGCTTGATCACTAGATCTCCAACTTGATATACTTGGCGTCTGACTTTCTTATTGAAGGCCTTGATCATCCGTTTTTGATACATCTGACCATGGCAAACAGCAGATGTAAAATTGATTTAAAAAAAGTGAAATTGATTTTAAAAATATATAATTTAATTTTTACATATAAATCTAATTTAAATATAAATAGTTTACATTTAGTTCAAATTTAAGGAGAATTACTTCGATTAAAATTAATTTAAATTTAAGTAGAATTTATTTAATTAAAATTAATTTTTTAGCACTGCAAAACTAAACACGGATTATATCTTAGATAATTTGTCTCAAAATATAAATTATTTAACATTATCAATTATTTAAGTAAATATGTTCAAGTTCATTTGTTTAGTGCAAGTGCATGCTATAACAATTATTTCATGCGTTTATAATATAAAAGGAAACATCTAGCCTAGTGGATAAGGCACTCTAAGATGAATTTGAGCATTTAATATTTTTCTATTATAAACAAAAAAAAAATTTAATATAAAATGATATGCCTATGTGGTATTAAAAATAATAAATAAATAAAATAAAAAGTCATATGGGTCATTCTAGTCAATAAAAAAATACACCTGTCACGTCAGTTTTTTTGACGACGGATGGGATAAAGGTAAAAAATGATGTCAGTTTTTTTGATGACGGATGGGATAAAAGTAAAAAATGACGTCAATTTTTTTGATGACGAATGGGATGAAAGTAAAAAATGAGAGAATCTTCAAATGTCATATGGGTTTTTCAAAAAGCGCATATATGGTAGGGGTAAATAGCTATTAAACCTAATATTAATGATAATTCATCTTCATCTCAACTGCCAAATCCACCTCTTCTTTATACCACCTCCTCAGAAATAACTTCGCCCTTATCACAACCCTTAACCCAAATAATTTCCCCGATCAGTGTTCCATTCGGAACTATTTATACTCTTCCACCAAAATCTAAACCATCTGAACCTCAACTTTCCCTATAGCTGAACTTTCTCAACAATCAAATCCACCTCAACCACAAACTACTTTTGTTGAACCAATACAACTTTCTCAAACACTTCTCCCACAACTTCAGCAAACACAATTTATTTATAACCTATTTGCATTACAACCATTAGAATATATCCCACCAAACTCTATCAACACCCTTGTATTTGACTCATATGCACCTGTTAATGCGTCAGAAGATTCTGACTTTGACACATAAATCATTAAAACCGTCTCCTTTGTCCCTATACGAGATTTTGATAAATGCTTATGACACTCAACCTGGTCCATCAAACCTAGCCTTCCTTATAACTTACATTCGTTTGTGACGTAAGCTTGCACAAACTGTGTAAATCCTGTTGAGAGTGATGCAATCTGGAGTGACTTCAGAAGATGGATAAATTCTAGATCTTGGCAGCTAAGAGAAATTTGTCATAATTTTGCTCATAAGATATTTCAAGAGAAACTATTTGGTTTCATAGAACCAATTTTGGAGTTGATCTATCCAAAAATTTTCCCTGCTCCTGAACTTAAAGTGATTTTGACTGAATCTTCTGATCCAACTGATCCTCGGTCAGAGAGTCTAGTTGAAGAAGCTTCTGCTTCTGGACATGCTGAACTAAATCATACGTCTGATGAACTTGTTTCTACACCGACTTCTGCGGTCATGATTTCTTATGGTATTGAGAAGTCTTCTGCTTCTGGGTATGAAGACTTGCCTTAGGTGATTATGAGGACACTTGAAGAGATCAAGCAAGAGAATGTTGTTGTCATAACGCATCTGGAAAAACAGGATGATATGTTCAAAGAGCAAGCTGAAACCAACTCAAAAAATCACTGGATTGCTAGAAGTGGTCATGTCAAGATTGCCACCTCCACCATAAACCCTTTGATTTTACCTTTCTAGTTTTTAAGTTTGGTTTATTTTCTGGATTCTGAATTTATATTGTTATCCTTGTTTTTAATCAATGAAATTCTTATTTCTGTTTTAAAAGTTTTAAGTCTTTTTGATTAATGACAAAAGGGTAAAAAGTAGTTGATTTTGATATACCTAATTCCTATAATCATACCGAACATGTTCTGATATATTTCTCCCCTAACAATGTTTGACTGATCAGGAACTTTGAAAAAGTTCACTGAATTTTTCTAAATAGGAAATTCAGAAGTTCATTTAATCAGGTTTAGAAACTCTGAAGATATATCATGTTTTGATATCCATTAGTCATGTTAACCATGCCTTTGTTAAAAGGAAATCCAACTAGGCTTTGATACACCAACCAAGCTCTGATGTCTCATCGTGTTCTAATAGCAAACCAGGCTCTGAGATGACGAACTAGGCATTACTATTCAAACTATGATGGTGTACTAATCAGGAAAGTACTCCTTTCATGTTGATTAAGTATTTTATATTTCAAAATTATTTTATAAGTCTTGAACTCAAGAGGAGCCTCTGATAAAGTTGAGATAAGTTTTGATAGTATAGAACCCGGAGGAGCTTTATAGCTTACTCTGAATTGTTTTATGTGATTAAACCAAGAAAAAATTGTTCATCAAAATACATGGTTTTGTCATCATCTAAAAGGAGGAGATTGTAAGAATAATATTTGGTTTTACATCTGACATTTAGTTTTGATGATAATAATAAAATTATTTCTTAGAGAAATTTTTTGTACCTTAATGATTTTGTCTAGTGTGTAGCTTTTGCTAACAAATTCTGACACTAAAGAAGTGGTGTGTGATGTCATCAGTTTTTGAACTCAACGCACTATGAATTTAACGTGATACAAAGTGCACTTTACAAATATTCAGTCAAGTTCTGAAACGCTCCTAAACAATGGTTCTGAAGAACGTTTGTCTAATAGCTTCTGATTGTGGCTCTGATTGAAGAGCTTCTGAAGATTATCAAGCTCTAAAGATTTTGTGCTCTTAAGTTGTGAGATTTTGAAGACTCTGAAGACAAGGTTTTGAAGACTCTGATTCTTCTTTTGATCCTTCTAAACATGCTTTATCAACTCACATTCTAAAGCCTCTGAAGATTAGGAGATAAGATCAAAAAGGTTTTACGTGAGTGAATAATACATGGTACAAGATCAAATATTCCTTCCACTATATTGATTTTGTGGCGCGAGGACAGTATTATGGTATCATTTTGACTATCACTCTTATTGACCGTTATGCAAGAATACAACAAAAATTTGGGAATTCCTATTCTACCCTCCAACAGATCTTTATATGCATATATAAAAAAGCCTTGGAAGAAGAACTTTTTTCACGTGAACTTTTGCCAAGAGATCTTGAACGAAAACATTTCATCTTTATTAGAAAAGTTGTAAAGCAAAAAACTTTTCATATACTTGTTCAAAACACTTTTGTGTTAATCTTTGTATTTAATTTGTGTAATATGCTTTCATAGAAGCGTTTTTGTAAACAAACATGTATCTTAACTTTTGATTTGTTATTCCTTGAGAGACTAGGGTATAGTCAGAAGTCTCAAGAAGACATTGACAGTAGGTTTTTGTGGTTGTAATCAATTTTGGTTATAGTTGATTAAGTCCTTGTAAGAAGGCGAAGTCACCTTGGCGGGGGTGGACTGGAGGTAGCTTCGTTAACAGCGAACCAGGATAAAAATATTGAGTTCATTATTTTTATTATAAGTTCTTTATTCTTTGTTTTGGGCCACGAAAAAGATTCATTCTAATAACTCAATTCAACCCCCTTTCTTGTGTGTCTTTAACCTTCACTTTACACTATAATCAATCCAAGAACAAATAGGGCAAATATTTGGTAAGTTACTCATTCTCTTTTATTGTTTGATTTGACATGCATGCATTACCTAAATAGTTTATATACATGATATGTTAGAGCTTAAGGTCTGTGCTTTGTTTGTCTTGAACTGCCTTCTTTTTTCATTGGAGCTTGAGTTCGTACTCTATTTCTTACTTTGTTTATACTAATTTTGTGCAGTCTTTGTTTTGAATTATGAACCCTTAGTCATAATAACAAAATATGGAATTACTTGTTATCTATTTTTTGATTTAGTTTAGACAATATTTTCTTTATTTATGATATGATTTTTCTTTTTTTGGTAATTCAGAGTTGCCTATTATTTATTATCTGAGTTGTAGGATTCATACAATATTAAATATGATTATGTGAATTATGAAAGAATTTGTTATATATTAAACACTTCTCAATTTTGAAATTTAAATAATATAAATAATATTTTAATTAAAGAAAAGTCTCGCTAACGAGTGTCATCAGACACTCTTTTAAGCATTCCAAAAAAAAAATTTATAAAAAATTTAACAATTTCAATTTCAAATTCAAAAACATTAAATATATAAATTTTTAAGAAAAATTTACTATTTTAAAATTAAAGAGTGTCTTGAAAATGCTAGTTAACATTTAAAAAAAAAATTATTTGAGTTAGATTCTAGGGATCAAAACGTCAAGACAAATTTCAAAAATCAAAATTTTTTACATAAATATTTAGAGATTATTAATTAAAAAAAGTCGTCCTATCGGAAGCTGCGAAAATTAACTCAAATTTTTTCAAATAATCCAACAGCTTATCAATTAAGTCAACTCACAATTTTAGAGTTTGTCAAATTTTAAATAAAAAAATTATTATAGAAAAATTCTTTCAAAAATATATTTTGACAAAAAATATTATGATAAACCGCGTTTTAAGCTTGGATTGAGAAACTTTCATTCTGACAGCCATGTTCACAGCTCACATGCACACACACCACTCCCACGACTTCAACAATTTACTTAAATTTAATCGATTAAAATATTAAATCTTACTTTAATTTAAAAATCCCAATCGAACCAAATTCACATTTTAACTCTAATCTTATCTACAGTCTACACAAAATCACTCACAAATGCCCAAAACATCACCACCACCACCAATGACGCCGTATCTCACGGTACTCCTCCTATTCACCACCATCTCCGCCACCGCCGCCGCAACCGAATACAAAAACCACACCGTAGGCGGCAAATCCGGATGGTTCTTCAACTCCACAACCAACACCCCCGCCACAAACTACTCCTCTTGGGCTTCCACTCAAATTTTCAACCTTGGCGATTATCTCAGTAAGCTCAATCTCTCTATTAATCTTCAAATTCGTTATTATACAAAAAAGGTGATACCATATCACCGTTTTGTATATTAAAAATAAATTGTGATTCATGCCCAATGCAATCAGTATCATTGTACTCAAATCGCAAAAGTTTTAATGCCACCGTTATAGTATTTTAAAACCTTGAAAATCACTATAAAATTGAAATTGAATCTTTATTTCTCAGTTTTCAACACGAATTCAAACCAGAGCGTGATTCTCACCTACAACAACACCGTATATTTGAACTGCACCGCCGATGATTCCGACAACGGAACATTCATATACAGCAGTGGAACTTTCAACCAGACGTTGACTATTCCCGTTCCGTTGACTATTGTGGGACTCAACTACTTCTTCTCCGACACTAGCGACGGTGTTCAGTGTCAGCACGGCTTGGCGTTTGAGATCCAGGTTCAGCGTGGAATTGGCTTGCCGCCGAGTCTTAATCAGCCTCCTCCTCCGCCGTATAAAGAGCCGCCTGGTCCTGATAGTGCTGAATCTCCGACGGTTACGATAGTGGAAGAGCCGAAAAATGGCGCGTTAGTGAAACGCGCTGACGTGCGCGTGGTGGTTTATGGGTTATGTGTAGTGATGGTGTTGTTGCAATTTTTGTGAGACATTGGGATAAGTTTCACGCGGCTTATTATTACAGTTTAGTTCATTTTTAGATGGGCAATAGAGTTTGTTTTTGTTTTTATTTATATATTTTAATTACTCACTTCGTTTTAAATAAATATTGTTTAAAGTTTTTATATACTAATTAAAAAAATGTAACGACGTTATTATAAAATATTATGGTTTTATTAAATTAATTTTATTAATTTATTCAAAAAATATAAAAATAATAATTTAATAATATAATTTAATTAGTATTTTTGTTTTATTTTATTCATGTGTATTTAAAAAAATAATTAAAATTATTATTTTAGACAAAAATAGTCAAAAATCTAAAAAAATAAACAAAATCTTTACAAATCAAATTATTTTCAAATCAAATCTTTCTCGTAGTCATAAATATGTCCAATTTCTTAATCTTGCTGACCAAGATTGAATAAAAAAATATTTGATTTGATTTTCTCAATCAGATAATATCTTGAAATCGTACTTTTTAGTGTTTCTCTTTTCAACATCCATGATTACAAAACCTAAGATGTTTACAATGAGATTCTATGAGTTCCTTGAAGACCAAGTAAAAGTTTTATGAATGCATGAATGCATAGTTTATGCAATAATCACAAACATAGTTTAAAAATTTAGTGTCACGAGCATGGAGCCAAAGGTAAGAACCACCTATTTACAGTGATTTCTGGTAAACAACCGCTAGTCCTCCAAACTATCAAATAATCTTAATGACTGTTATTTAATCTCTCTGGTAACTTGCAGGATCGACTAGATTGATCCTATGGGGTATTGGTCGTTTGGATAAATCTAATTGTAAAACTGATATTCATAGTTAGGATTTGTATTTAGGATGTCTTATAGACGTTCAATTCACTTCGATTACCATGTTAAAAGAATCTAATGACATGATCAAGTAAAGAAATACGAAACTGAATTGAATGAATAAAGATTTGATTGCAAAGAAATGTTTAAATGCAGAAATAAGTAAATGACTTTGGATGTAAAGACTTTAATGTAAAAAGCATGAATATAAAAGCATGAAATGTAAAAGAGTTTCTGAAATGTAAAGGATTCGAATAGAAGAAAAGCGTTTAAATGCAAGAAATAAGTAAATGACTTTGAATGTAAAGGTATTTGAATGACATTGACATGAAAATGGAAGATAAACTGGAAAAGATCAAGAGTTTTACTGAATTATAAATGTTTGGTGTTATCATACGTACATTGTTCGAGCATTCGTTTCCCTATCCATGTGGTATTTTGAATGTTTACTGAATTTTGTACAATAGATATGACACACGAAATCCTAATACTAAGACTTCTATTTATACTACTTCGACCATAACGGTCTTGCCTATAAGATTCTGCCACGTTCAGAACATGCAGAGCACTGCTCCTCTTTAGCTTCCACGCGTCTTCGAACGCTCCAGCGCATATATATTTGAATTCCAACATCCCGCTCGCGTTTGAATTTCAAATGCCTTGGCAATCTTCGCTTCGAACTCATTTCACAGACACAGTCTCGTTACCACTTCGAGGCTTCTTTTAAATATATCTTCACAACTATCACTCGAAGCTCCGAGCTTTGACATGTCCGTTCGAAGAACCGCTTCTACCATTCCGAACTGTAACATTTTGCTTTATTCCAATGAAACATCCAATTTGCTTCATTTCGAACTGTATCATCAAAATCTTCAGCCAACAAAATGCCCCTTTAAAATATGTATTTCGATCCTTTGAGAAACACTTATTTTAAATATATTTGCAAGATTTTGATGTGACTTTTGAGTAATCATAACATTTATTGTGTATGACTTCAATCACGTCAATCACGACGCCTCTTGGATTTCTTAACCGTCTTGAATCAGTATTTCACAGCATGGTGCAGTTATAAAACAATGATTATTATTAATCACGCTTATTACCAATATCAGCCTTTACGCCACCTCCTCCTCAATCCAACCCACGACTCCCACGTATCCTAGTCTCACTTAGTGGATGTTTAAGCTTCCACACTATAAAAACTAATCAACTTAGTCTTTTATTCTTTTTCCACATTCTGAAACTTTTTCTTCCTCTCCTTTTACTAAAACCCTAAAACTTCCAACAATCTTCAACAATGTCTTCAACAACATCATCCCAACTGAAGAAAACTTCCAAGAAGAAAAACAAGAACACAGGAACAATTATGGAAAGCAAGGTCGGTACTTATCAAGGTCAATCTGTGCTTATCCCTCAAATGATCTCCAAGGAAAAGGAAATGCTCTACGCCTCTCAGGTATTGATTCCAACTAACGCTGCTGGAAAGAGGTTTGCTCTAATGGGTCCTCTTACAGTTTTTGAAATCTTGAAAGATACTAGAAAAATCTTCCCTGTCTGTTACAACTTTAAACCCTTGTTTAATAAGATGGACATCTCTAAGATAGGCGAGTCTTCTGATTCGAAAACCATAGAAACTCCAACCGTTCCCCCAAAAGATCCCTTTGTGTTAGACTACGTGAAGAGCAACTTTAAACCATTCCGATCCTGCCCTACCTCTGACATAGCTTACCAAAACTGGCTCACCAAAGTATAAGCCAAGAAATCCCAGCAATGGGAGGAATTAGGAATCTATAATCTGATTAAGTTATCGAAACCAGGCTTCACCTATAGTCATCCACTGTTATTTGCATCCTTATATTTCTGGGACATCACCTACAACACCTTTCATCTCCCTGGGGGAATGATAACACCCATGTTTTTCGATATAGCAGCCATCACTGGTTTGTCACCAGTAGGAGAAACCTACATCCCTGATAATGAAGAACACTCCAGCATTATTGACTTTGATGTCAAATTAGCCAGTTTTTCCAAATTCATTAACCATTACCACACTGAAGGAGATAGTGTGTCAGATGTGGAACATATTGCTTTTCTCACTTTATGGTTATCAAGATACGTATTCTGTAGCAGGTCCTTACAGGTAGCAAGCAGGTTCATCCCTTTAGCTAGAGACTTACATGAGAATAGGAGGGTATGTTTGAGCGAACTGTTACTTGTTAATCTTTACGAAAGCTTAAGATCAGTCGTTTCGAGTTTGAAATCCCATACTCCCCAAAACATCCTTCTAGCTGGCCCCTTCTGGTTACTCCAATTATGGCTTAATGCCATGTTTGAACCCTCATTATCAACTGCTGACACCGTTGTTGAACAAGATCCAGAGATAGCAGATAGAATTATTGAAGGTACAAGGCTGCGAAAACTCACCCCGAATGATGACAAAGATGACTTCAAGGTCCTTTTCTCAAACTACATCATGATTTTCTCCAAAAGACACAAATTTGAAGAGACCATGGCACCCTTTGCTTCAAGGAATCATGGACCATCATGGTTCACCATGTCTCTTTCAGAAGCAGTTAAAAGTAAAGAAATTCAAGATATTTGGAAAGCCTTTTTGCTTCCTAGATTAATTTCCTCACGAATCACTCCTTCCAAGAATCAAATCTTCCTCTTTTCCTATCAACCTAACTTTGTTTCCAGACAATCTGGCATGTGCCAATTAATCCCTGAACCTCTGTTCCAAACAGAGAGTGCCATCACTTCTGGTCGAACCTTTAAAGCAAGAGAAGCCAAACTGCAACAGGAACAATATCAAGACTTCTCTCAATTCGAACTACTACCTTTTGAACCCACACACTTCACAGCGAAGGGTTTTCTGGAATGGTGGACTAAGTTCTACCAATCTTATATGTTCGATACCCTATCCATTCAACAGAAACTAACTGATGCGTTCGATGTGCAGGTACACTCCAAGAAAGGTATGTTCACTCACGCCAAAGAGATTAGGGCTTTTCAAAATTATTTCGAAACCACTTATGATCCCACACACTTGGAAACCACTGTGCATCAAGCGGCTGAGACCTTGAAGGAAAAATTTAAAGAAAAAATTTCTAAGCTCAAACTTCCTTCCGGGTTGTCACCTGAGGATAGGTATAGGTTGGCACTCGAAATGCATCCACCTAAATTTCCTAGGTTGCCTACCTCAGAACTGGCTCTGGCTTGGTTTCCTCCATACCCTTGGTGGTTCACTTGCAAAGAAATGTTCAAATACCTTCAAAAGAAACCAAAGCCATCTGAGACTGTGACATGGGCTCGTCATTGGCTCCATGATTTCCCAGGACACCTTTGTTATGACCTTTCTGCCATGTCGATTATATCTAGTCAAGGCGCAGGTGCGAATGCTTGGGAAAATCCCAAATGTTTCTTACTTTCTTCATTTTTAACATTTACCTTAATTGTTTCGATTTTCAGCCATCAGGATAAAGTCCGTTGCTTCGAAGTCTAAAGAAGGATGTACCTCCCAACAATCTGTCGAAACCACTGATGATGTGTCCTTAGCCATACCAACAACAACAACACCAGCAATAACAACTGTTCCAACTCCAAAGGTAATCAATTAGCCCTGATGTTTCGAATAAACTGAAATTCATGATTTAGATCTAACTCATGTTTAAATATTTTCAGACTAACAAACTCCCACCAACCACTCCGAAGAAAAGGAAACCAAGCACTACTGGGAAGAATCCTAATGCTGGAGGGAATTCACCAACCGCTTCGAAGAAGAAGCAGAAGAAAGAAGTTTCCAAAGGTGCTGAACCAACTGGCATTTCTGGACTCGATTCCAAAGATGTTGCTCCCTCAACAAAATCCAAAAATCCACCTTCGACCTCCAACGTAATGTTGGAACATATAGATAGTAACCTTTCCTCTGAGAATCCACAGGTAAATTGAACTCGAATCTTTAACAAAAATAGTTATTCATTACCTTGGTGCATGCTCTTAATATCCTTTGTCTCTGTAGGACATTTCGAATCCAACTCCTATTACTTCGACTCCTCCATCAAAGACTGCTGCTCCCATCAACTCTCCTCCTCATGGGGACTCCAGTAACCTGGTGCAAAACAAAGGATCCTCCAACATGGCGGTTCCGACTGGGGCTTCAGAGAAACAAGATG